ACCCCTGGCCTAGACCAAACACATAAAGGAGAAATGGGACGTTTGGAGATTTCCTTCTAGCTTACCTTGTTGACCTCTTGGGTCAGAGCTTGGACACTGTATATGCTAAGGCTGCCGTTCTCCATCACGGCTGCAATGTATCTCCCAGAAGGGCTCACTGCAGCAACGCTGATTCCCTCTTCGTGACTGCCAAGGTCAAACAGCAGTTTGCAAGTACTGATGTTGATCAATCTCATGATATTATCTTGGCTCAGCACTCCAAGGACCTAGAGAGGGAGAAAAAAAAGAGATTTAAAAGACAATTCGTTTGCATTCATTTTAGTAATTTATTAAAAAACAAGCCATGATTTACTGCAATTCAAGATATTTAGAACGACAGGCAGTCCTCAACTTATGACCACAACTGAGCCCACAGCTTTCATTGCTAAACAAGGCGGTTGTTAAGGGAGTTTTGCCCCATTTTATGACCTTTGCCACAATGGCTAAATGAATCGCTACAGTCGTTAAATGAAACTGGCTTCTCCCATTGACTTTGTTTCTTGGAATCTGGCTGGGACGGTTACAAATGGTGATCATGTGACCATGGGGATGTTGCAACGGTCGTTAAGTGTGAAAACCGGTCCTAAGTTACTTTTTTCAGTGCTGTTGTAACTTCGGTCACTAAATAAACAGTCATTGAGTCGAGGACTACCTGTAGTGGGACACGCTTCTGAGGAAAAAAAAAATCTTTCAAGGTTTTTGGCTGTAGCTTTAAACAGAGTCAGGCTGACTCATATCACATGCTAAATCTTAAACCTGGATCATAAAGGGATCAGAAAGCATTAAATGTTGAAATAAGAGAATTTTGGTTATTAAATTTAGATATTTGGAAATTATTAGAAAATAAGAATATTATATTGTATTATTAACCAGCTGATGTAAGATCTTGGGATGAATTGGGATAAAGGGAATTGGGGTTATTTAAAACTTGGAAACTACAAATATTAAACGTTAAATTTAAATATTAATGGGAAGTTAAAAATTGGGAAAACTTCCCAGGACATTGATTGTCTAAAAAGATTGAATGTTAAAATGACTAAGATATGTATAAACTAGAAATTATTGATAAATGTAAAAAAAAGTTATTTGTATTAAATTGATATAATAAGAATTGTATTAATTTAAATGTGAGGCAGTAAATGCCAAGGGAAAAAGAGAGGAAATATTTAATGCACTAGTTTGTGATCTGTACTAAAGAAATCTGGATGTTATTGAATTATGAACCAACCCAGCTGCCACGTTGCTTTTCAAATATTTAAACATAAAACTGGAAAATCAATAAAAATTCAATTGGAAAAGAAAGGGAGGGTGGAATAAGGTGGTATAAAGTGTGAATAATACCCATTCGATGGCTATCTGATTCTAATCAATACTCTTCTACCTGTGCATCAGCTTCTGTCACTCACCTGATTAGAGCCCCCATCAAAACTGTCAGAAAGAAACTCCAGCTGGCGGATGGCTCGCACTTGGGTTGGCATCTGGATAATTCGTAGCAGCTGCTTAGACTCCAAGCACCACAGGTGGAGGTGATTTGATTTGCCTCCCGCTGCCAGGACGCGGCCATCTCTAAAACCCCGCACAAGACAATGGGCATTAATCTACTCATGGCAGCTTACATCTCAAATTCAGCTTACTCTCACAGTGCTCAAGTATGACTTGCGAAGGACTGCTCAGTCCGGATAAGGAATCAGCCTGACGTATAGGATCTCTGGTTTCAAGATGGTATAAAATCAAGTGATTCCTTATCTGGATTTAAACAATCTCTAGTTGGGACACTCCAAGGAACGCCGTGACAATGAAATAATCACTTACGGTGACTAATTTAACATTCTGCAAACAGGCTTATGTTTGTGGACACTACATCTCATGGAGTTTGGGGAGATTTATTTCAAGGTTAAATGTGTTTAACTCCCAGGAGGCAACCCAATGCTCTTGCCAGGCATTTTGGATTATCGCTTGCTTGGAGGGTCACTAAGATCTGGGAAAACTGGAGTCTAAAGAAACTTCCTGACAGTTAGAACAATTAACCAGTGGAACAACCTGCCTCCAGAAGCGGTGAATGCGCCAACACTGGAAGTTTTTAAGAAGAAACTGGACAGCCATTTGTCCGAAATGGTATAGGGTCCAGCAGGGGGTTGGACTAGATGACCTCCAAGGTCCCTCCCAACTTTATCATTATTATTATTAAAGTCTCTAGAAAGCTTCTAAACCAACTTCTAGCATAGAGGCAACTGGGCAATGGCTGAAGCTCACTCAGAGAGAATAAGCTTTGCAGGATCTATGCTCTACATCAGGGGTCTTCAAACTTGACAGCTTTAAGACTTGTGGACTTCAACTCCCAGAATTCCTCAGCCAGCCAGTTATAATTTCAGTATTTTAATTGCATTGTATTGTTCCTCTGCAGGACTAAGCCCTGCATTTAGTAAAGTCCAAGAAGGAATTTAGCAAAAACTAAATTCAAAGAGGATGAGGTAGGAGATTTGCAGGCTTAAAGACTAGGCCTACCGGGTCACGGCAAAGACCTTGTAGTGCAATGAAGAACCTTCGATGGGCGATGGTAGCTGATACTTGCAACGAAGAGTATCAAAGTCCCACGCAAAGACCGAGTTATCTTTGAAGCAGCTGAGAATGGTGTTACTCAGGGGAAGAAAGAATACCTGAAAGCACAGGGACAACAAGCACATGGAAAAGACGTTTTAAAACGAGCAGCTTCTCTTCAGAGCGAGTATTAGACAAGTACCCTCATAATTGCCTATGATCACAATTGGGACTGGAAGTTCCGTTGCTAAGTGAAGCCATTGTTAAAAAGAATCACACCGAACTGTATAATTTTTGCTACAGTCGTTAAAACAAACCATGCAGTCATTAAGTGAATTTGGCTTCCCTACTGGCTTTGCTTGTTGGAAGCCTCCTGGGAAGATCGCCAATGGTGATCACGGGATCCTGGGATCCTGCAACTATTGTATATACATGCCATTTGCTAACCAGGGATCCTGTGATGGCCGTCAGTGCTAAGACCCATTGTAAGTCACTTTTTTCAGCACCCTGCAACTTTGAACAATCACGAAACAAATGGTCGTAAGTTGAGGACCACCTGTATATATTTTGACGTTAAAGGAACATATATGTTTTATATTTTCTCCTTTTTTGATTGAGGCTTCTGAAAGCCTTGATTCGGCTGTGTTTATTGGCTTTGAAAATGCCTTGCGAATGTGGCAGG